ACATAATATAAAAAGAAAATCTGATAAGTTGCTTCAAAAGACATTAAATGAGTCCCAATACTGTTCAGATGGTGTAAACAGCAGTCTTTAAAGGTAATTATAATAAAGCTCATTTCAAAAGTTGCTGAGTCAGTGAGCCATGAGACATCACACGCCCTGAGTTTTTACCCACATCGTCAGATTAAATACGCACACAGAGGCTCTGCGGGGAAAAGAGACAGCAATATATGTTGCAGTAAAAGTGACAAAGCTGAGACTACGACTGAGAAGTCAGTCCTGGCTGAGGCCAGCTCCTGATCTGGCTGATGATGATAAGCCAGCGGTGTGATGGAAAGGCTGGTAGTGGAGAAATGATACACAACTGAGCACATGCCGCGAGATATTAACACATCTTCTGTGGCAACTAATATCATTAAATAATAAAGTGTAAAAGCGTTGACTCAGCAGGTATTTGAGGGTTTATCAGCACAGTGAAAATGTTACATCTTGATCAGTAACTACTCGCCCAACAAGCTGTAGTAGGCTATCTACATTTAGCTTTAGATCAGTGGTTCTCAAACTGGGGTCCCCGGACCCTGGGGGGTTCGCGAGCCGGCTCTAGGGGGCCACCCAAAAAAAATAAAAAAGTTTTTTTTTTTTTTACAAGCATGTAGATGTTTAACAACCCATGAAAATACACCAAAATGCAGGAAATCTCATCTACTGTACTTTATTCAAAATTTTCTGGGGGAGGACCCCCAGACCCCCGCACAACCAGCCCGCCCACTATTTGTGTTCCAGCCGCAACTGGTTTACAAATTAAGCCCAGTTACTGTATACTGCTTATGACTCTGTTCAGTTTGATGTAAAGAGTTTTCTGTAATAATTTGTAGAAGTGTCACTACATTTATTATGTTCATTATGTGAGTAGGTAAAGGTTTAAAGTGTTTTTGATGCTGTAGATGTTCCCAAAACTGTAATTTTTGGAAGTTGAAATTAAACATTTTATTAATTAAGTGTGTCTTGAATGAAAAATACCAGATGTTTAAAAGTATAAAAAGTGTATTAACACTATAGGTCTTAAGTATTTATGCTACACAAATATTTCCATTGCATTAAAGAGACAAATCGAAGAAAATTATTTAATAAACATGAGGGTTATGAGGGGGCCCCTGAAACATTTTCTCCCCTGTAAAGGGGTCCCTGAACCCAAAAAGTTTGAGAACCCCTGCTTTAGGCCAGCTAGCTGCTCATGCTGGGAAATAGAAACTTATTTTTCCAGATTAAAAGTTATTATTTATGTCTGTGTGATCAAACCAACTGCCCATAAATTTACTTACAACTTTGAAATGACAGAACAAGCTGTTAGCAGCCTCAATCTATCTTTTCACCACTTTTTAAAAATGAATAGATCAACTTAAGATGTAAATGGCAAACAGACCCATAACTTCTGCTTATTGATCTGCTCAGAATCAGCCAGAGAGGAGAAACTGTGCAACGATTTAAACCCTGTTAGCTGCATCTGTCTCCATCCTAAGGACAAATATCATTCCACTTTGTCCCAAGGAAATATTTGATGTAATTTTCTTTGGAAAAAAATAACATTCAAAATGAACTGTTGAATGGCAGATCAGAAAAAAAAAACTTGTCAAGTATATGTTGTACATGTTGTGTTCAAAGACTGTCCCGCCAGCACTGAACCATCCTCTGGACATAATAAAGCCATATAGTGTAACCTTGTTACAGAAATGCCCTTGCAGTTTTATTTTAATAGATGTGGCCAAATACTTTTATAAATGTTTTTTTATGTTAAATATCTCTAACCTGGTGCTTCAGTTAAGTATTAATAGACGCTGTGCTCTGGTTTCAGTCATTCATTCACTGGGGTTGCTGTTAATCTACAGCAACACCTTTTCCCGCCACAAATTCAAGTTTTTGCACAAACGTCTAGGAAATTGATCAAGAATAATCATAAACCATTATTGGAGACAAATGTTTATGAATTAATATTCTTTATAGGCCTAAAGAAAGATATGTTAATGAACGCCAAGCAATGCTCATAGAAAATGTGCATGGCTGTTGCCTTTCCATTTATTCATTACTATTACTGGAGTCTCTTTGTTCAGATCAGTATAGGTGCTTTCAGTGAGAGGGTCTTCATTTTAGTCGAGGTCTTCATGATCTTCCTATAGCTCAAAAATTGTATTTATTTATTTTTCTTATTTCGGCTGCTCCCTTCTTCAGGGGCCGCCACTCTGAGCCAAGAAGACTTGGCAACTGTTTTTATGCTGGATGCTCTTTCTGACGCAACCACAAACCACCAAGCTAAGTGGAGCAGAGCTGCCATGTAGAGCACCCAGGGGAGAGGACGGTAGGGGTTGAGGGCCTTGCTCAAGGGCCCAGAGTTTGGCAAACCAGGGTGGAGACAGGTCAACCTTCCAATCACAGGCTCACCTTCTCTAACCTCTGTGCCACCACGCCCCCATCACATTATAGGTTAACAAACTTATGCTGATGACACCTAACTCTACATTTGAGTCACTGCGTGATCTTAGTCCCTTTCAGTCACTGAGTAAGTTTGTCCATAAAATCAGTGATTGGATGAGTCAGACATACGACAAACCATTGTTTTTGGTCCAAAAAGTGCAAGACATCAGCATTCAACTAGACACAGTGAAGCTAAAAACTAAAGAGCACGCCAGAAACCTCGGAGAAGCTAAAGATGCAACAGTCACAAACGCATTACTAAATCACCCTTTTGTTTCAAAAACATCACAAATATAAAGGGATTCCTGTCTAAAGAGAAGATATTAAAACTTGTGCATGATTTTATTTTCTGCAAGTTACAATATATTTTGAAAGGTGTCAATAAAATATCAACCAGGCAGCTGCAGATCATCCAAAATGCTGCTGAGAGTCCCGACTACAACCAGGAAAATGGAACGTATCACAGGAGTCTTTAAATCATTTAACTCCCTGTGGTAAACTGATTTTAAAATTCTGACACTAAACGGCCTTGGGCATAAACACATGTCACGGTTACTTGTCCGGTGTGAACCATCCAAAGCCCTCAGGTCATCAGGGGCAGGTTTACAGTGTGGACCAGAACAACGAGAGGCACCTTCAACCTGGAGCTGAACAGAAATCAGCTCTGACAACATCACCGTCTGCAACTTTCCTGTAAAACTGAACTTTTTTTTTTTTTTTTTTACTTTATTTAACAATTTACAACACAAAACAAAAAGTACCAGTTCTTCCAATAGAAAGTTACACAAGGTGATTCATAACATAGTGGAAATAAGAACAAACAAGAGAGAAAAATAAGTTAAAAAATGGCATTGTACGAATAAATTGAAATTAAGAAACGAAGGAATTTGCCAGCATTTTTTTTCATTTACATATTTGAAATCTTTTGCATTCACAGTAGCTCATTCTTCCAGTGGTTCATATTAAGTTTACATTTGAAAAAACAAAAAATACAGCATTTATGAATGTAATGATTCACTAATATAATCTGATTATTGATAGCATATTCATTACTTCCAATCTTATTAATGAACCCCAATTGGATTCATTTTGCAGTGAGAGTAAGTAGTTGAATCCCTTTGGGTTGGATCCACATTTTAAAATCAAGCCAACATTTCTGAACTATCACGCAGTCACAGAAAAGATGTTGCAGGTTCTCACTCGCTGTCTCACAAAAAAAAAAAAAACACACAATTCCCAGTGACCATTTAAAATGTTGTCCTTAGAAATTCCTTAGTAGGATAAATTCTATTTAAGATTTTAAATTGAATTTCTTTGGCTTTAGGAGGGACCGGAAATGATTTAAAACTAGTTCTGATCTTTTTAACGCCTTCTTTTCTAAAGTCCTTGAGAATATATATAAAACGGTAAATATGCATGTGTAATCCTATAAATACATGTATAAATATGCAAAACTGAACTTGTTTGTTTCATTATTTTATTAGTTCTTGCTGAATTATTTAAAACAGTATTTTATTTATATTAGTATTTTATTCCAATGTCTAAATTTGATTGTAGTTCTTTAAATGTTGTCAATCTTCTGAATGTAATTTTTAACATCTATTTCCCTGTACTTTGATATAAATGCATTTTTTTTTTCAATTTACTGAGTCACTGAATGGCTGGTGTGTGTGTGTGTCTTTCTGTCTTGACCCTGTGATGGACTGAGGACACGTCTGTCCTCCACTCAGGGCGTCTGTGTGTCATTGTGTAATTCTTGTGTCTTCTGTCCTGCATGCTCTCCTCAGTTTCTCCTTCTTGTAATCAGCTCCTGCCTCCACCACCTTTTGTCCTTCACCAGGTGTTTCTTGGGTTATGGTTCTGTCTTCCTCTGTCATAATGTAGCTTTTACTTTTCTTTATTAAATATATATATATATATATATATATATTCTGCTTTAAATCATGAGTTCTCCAAATCATGGGTTCCACCAAACACAAGAAAAAACAACACATAAGTGCCCTCAGAAAGGCGGCACATAAACCGAACACATTTCAGGAGTTTATTATATTTGAAAGGCACAACATTATATGGGTTAAAGATCTGCCTCCAGTTTCTATAAGAGCAGTGCCTATACGCAACTTATTGGTGTTTATCCTAAATTTATATTCATAGCTGAACATGGACTTTCTTGCCCAAGTTCCTAAATAAATATTGCAACCTCTGCTCTCAGAACATGTGTTGGGCATCAGTCTCCATCAAATCTCAAGACTGACTGAGCTGCAGCCTTTGAAACAATTGTTGTGGCTTTCTTGAATCACACTGACCCAGAAGTCATTTGGTGATTACCTTTTGAATGTTTACTGGTTCACGTGATATTTAACTAACAGCAATATAAAATTAGGACACTCTCCTGAACGTTCCCTTGTCTGTGCCCCTGCGCAGCCTCTCATGGTCAAATGTCAAAATGCCCATTATATTAAATAACAAGAAAAAGGCAAAATATTGAATTTAGTAAGCATGAACAAAAGCAGTAAGAGCCGCTGAGGTTTTACCTGTACCACTCCAAGCCTCTCTTGTAGTTCCTGTCAAAGAAGTGGGTTTCTGTCCCCGCCGCTCGGACGTCCGGATGGATCCGTATGAACTCCAGAACCGCTCTCGTTCCTCCCTTTTTCACCCCAACTATGATGGCGTTGGGCAACTTTTTATTGCCAAACTTCATGTGGCTCATCGGAGGACTCGGGGTGTCGTTCCTGACCTTGTGGGGAGCGGGAGGACGTCTCTGGTCTGGGTCCAACCGAGACGGAGGTGAGAGGCAGGACAGGGGTCTGTGCGCGCGCCGCTTGGCTCCATCCACGCGCTGACAGCCGGATGTCGGATCAGCTGACTTTGGCATGCTGCTGTCAGGGAACAGTGCACAGTAGCACAAGTAGGAGAGAAAAAGAGACAGGAGGCAGAAGGTTGCTCCTCTGAGCCGGTGAGAGAAGGGGAGAAGTCGACTGAAGAGGAGCACGCATGCCATCTCTCCATGGAAAGCGCATGATTTTAACTCATTTTACGCTTCAGTCTTCTTTAATGGATTGAGTTCTGGTTGATATGACTCCAAACCTTTGTGGGTCAACCCTTCCATCACTTCATGGTAATCCACAAACATCCACAGATCTCCGTTCTGAAGCGGCTCCCGGAGCTCTCCGCGGTCATTACGCACACAGCAGGAGCGCATGCAGGCGCGCGGCGCTCTCCCCGCACCACGAGCGGACTGGAGCTCCAAAGCAGCTGAGCGGCGGGAAAACGCTTCCACACCGTGACGTCAGAACATCTTTACAGCTGCATTAAAGTGCCCCGCACATCTGCTTCAAACTCACCCATAATGCAGTTTGAGCGCGTTTCTGTGCGGCTTGAACGCAACACTGGGCGCGTTTTTGTTTGTTTGTTTGCTTGTTTTATTTCTTCAACAAGGAAAAAAGGTTTGCCTCACATTATTTACACACATGAAACACATCCAGGAACATGCATCATGTATGAGCCAGAGATGGCTCCTCTGTATTTAAAGCATCGTCTCTCCTGATGTGACCCGAGAGGGAGATTTGGAGACATGCTGAAGGATTCATTTCACAATTTGATATTTGGAGATAATTAACTCTAAGGATTCAAGGTGTCTTTATTGTCATTCACATCACATGTGGTACATGAGGTGGAACGAAACTATGTACGCAGGGTCCCAGTTACATCCAACAAAAATACTAATTGTAAAAAAAAAAACAGTATTAAGATTTGAGACTTGAACAAAGAACTATGCTAAACTAAGAATATGCTAAACACTAATAGTACAAAACAGTGCGCCAAACAACAGCAGCACAAACATGAGTCTATGTGAGCAGATGAGACCGAATGAACACATGAAATAAATCAGCAGCATGAGATCAGCATCATGGATATTCAGCAGTACATATCAACAACCAAGTGGCATTACAGTGACTTTTCCACAGTGATTGATGGACATGGGCACTGGTGACCACTATGACCCAAAATGGAAGAAGCGGGTAAAAGATAATAGATGGTTGGATGGAGTCTAACAGCTTCAGGGTAGAAGCTGTTCCTCAGCCTAGTGGTTCTACATTTAATGCTCCTCAACCTTCTGCCTGAGGGGCAAAAGGTGTGTGTGCTGGGTGAGTGGGGTCCTTCATGATGCAGGTGGCCCTCTTCCTGCATCTGGAGGTGCAGATGTCTGTGATGGGGAGGCTGACTCCAGCAGTTTTCTGTGCAGCCGTCACCACTCTCTCTTCCCTGAAGGATTGCCTGTCACCCGCCACATTTCATGCCACATCTTTAAACTAACATCATCTACCTTGGAAATGTTTTTGGGCGATCTCGTGCCATATTGCAGGATCAGATCTGGCAAAATTGGTTTGCACTCAAAGGATGTGATGAGGATGACTCTCAGCGACTACCACAACCTAAAATTACATCAATATCTGTGACAGTGGCTGAGTTACAGCCTTTTTGGTGCTGGATGATGTCGATCGGCTGACTGCAAAATTCACGGTGTAGTTGATTATTCTCTATGAGTTTCATTGAAATGCAATTTATGATTAGATATTTTGCTAACAAATAATAATACACACACACACAGTCTCTGACATAAACTTTACGCCTTTTACCTTTTGGTGCAGAAATGATTTTGCACAAAATCCAGTCAAATGTCTGATTTTTAAAAATCCTATACGTCTGTGGCACAGAACAAAAATAACTTGGACGTTTCTTTTATGTAATTTGTCCCAATTGAATGTGCGTTTAAAACATATTGGACATATTGCTGTCTGCCTCAACTGTTCTTTGTTTAAAACAGGGATCTGTTGTAAATGAGTTTTCACAACTTAATGACACTAAATGTTGAATGAATGGAAACAACAACAACGGATTAACGTTTGGAGTCAGCACCACTCATGATGGCTGCCATAAAATTTAAAGCACATAAAATACTTGAAGTTAGGCAATTTCAAAGAGACTGAGCTAAAATTTGGAGTGGTAGTAGCTTAGAGTCATCCCCAACACGTAACTCAGTACATGTGTGAGATATTTTCTTAAAACCTTGGCATTGACTCTCCTTTTTTAATTAAAAAGGAAATGCATTTTAGATGCATTCTGGCCTTGGTGTCAGTACACCAAGGATTTATAAACATTTGTAAATTAATAATCCAAACTCTGTCACTGTTTGGACATTTTACATGAGTATTACATAAGATGTTACCAGTCATGAAGCCACTGGGGTCACCTGAGCTCACTGGTAGTTTGACCCTTTTTTGTTTTGGCGTCTGTTTTTAGTTGAGGAAATGTTGTAGTGTCTGTGTGTGCTCATCCCTTTAAGTTTCCCGGTGACTGACACCACCACAGACAAGCCCACGGTGGAAACCAGAGGAGGCCACGGCTGCAGAGACACACAGGGAGGAGTTGAGATGTCATGGTGGAGCTCCTGCGGGTGTCTGCGCCCCAATCTCACAGGCCTCTGATTAAAGAATGATTTATAGAGGCCAGTCAGAGGGACCCGCTCTGCAATCTGTCTACTGAATGAGATTTTTCCTCTGGAAGAGGGCGGGTAAATCAAACCTGGAGGCGAAAAGCCTGCAAAGCTCAGCGATCGGGCTCAGTGATTAAATGTTATAATCTGCTCTCCCTGCTGAGACCACAGCTTGGCTTCACGGTGTCACCATCAAAACCCCTAAAATCACTTTATTCTTGGCCTTGTTTACAGAAAACACATCTTATCTCAGATTATTATAAAGCAGAAGAGCTTTTTGGCCTATGAAAGATATAATCGATGCAGAGCTCTCAGCGTAACGACACAGAAAATGTTTGAGAATAACTGCAAGGAGTATAAAAATTAAAAGTGCAAGTTCTTGATTTAACTCTGAGGAGAACAAACGGAGAATAAAAGAGCCTGGCATGGATACGCAGCACATTTATCATGCCGGCTGTCTGTTGGAGGTCTCTAAATATAGGTCATGTACTCACTGACCACTCCATCAGCAAGGAGCCCATTTGTCAAAGCACAAGAGAGGCCTGAGGGGGGACGTCAACTTGTCTCGGCTCTGATGAGACACTGAGGACAGATACAGATGATCAAGACAACTTCACATGGAAGATGGATGAAGAATCTGCTGTGGGTCCAGTCCACACCCCTCTAAAAAGCTAAATAGTTTTTTTTTGTGTAATTAAAAAAAAAGTTTGTGTTTATTAAATCAAACAAAGTTTTTTTGTGCAATCTGTTAGCGTTCAGAATGAGTCTTGGGAATCAGCCTCAGCTACTGCCACACTAACGTCCTTCCTTAGATGGATAACTTTACTAATACATTATAAATTATAATGTATGTGAATGTTTTTGTTCAGTGCCTTGAGATAACTTATGATAAATATAGAACTTTATGGATCCCGCAGGAAATTGTTGTGCCAGAGTTTCAGTACAAAGGAACATACACAATGAATCACACAAGATATAAAAAATAACACATACTATGAAAATGCCAGCAATTAAGTTCTAACAGGCCACGTGCAGACATGTGTGAAATGTTTTAATGTGAAAACATTAAAGTGTTCATTGTAGGACAGGATTAATTTTATTGTCCTATGTGCAGATAGTCGGAGGGGTTGGAAAGTTTGATAGCCAGGGAGGAAGGACTTCCTGTGGCGTTCTATGGAGGACCTCGGTGCTCTCATTGTACATTTGAAGGTGCTGCGGTAAGAGTCCAGTGCGGCATGCAGAGGGTGTGACGTGTTGTTCAGGATCTGGAGCAGTTTCCTCAGCATCCTCTGCTCAGACACCTCTGTCAGAGACAGCAGCTCCACTCCCAGAACTGAGCCAGCTCTCTTGATGAGTTTATTGAGTCTGTTGGCATCAGCTTTCTTCTTCCTGCTGCCCCAGCACACCACAGCGTAGAAGAAGACGCACCACTGAGTGGTAAAACATCTGCAGCATGGTCCTGCAGACGTTAAAGGACCTGAGTCTCCTCAGAAGAAAGTTATTTTTTATGTTTTTAACTGACTAGCTGCTATATAAATAAATTGAATTTAATTAACTTTTAGGTCAAATCTGTAAACTGACAGCGTTATTGCCATTTTTACATTTTTTTAAGATTAATTTCAAACGTTAATCAGCTCTAGGTGTACGTCCAATGTTTGCTTCCTGCAAATTTCATTAAATATGGTTCAGACTGATGTAAAGGCACATTACCGCCCTCTGCTGGTCAGATTAAGTCATTATTTGCACATTACCGCCCTCTGCTGGTCAGATTGAGACATCGCGGTGACGCTGCGTCCTTCACATTTTAAAGTGAAAGCGAAAATTTTCTAAGCTGCCGCGTCAGGAAGAAGCAACGTTACGAGAACAGTAAGTTTTTTTTAACAAGAAAATATTTGTCTGCTAATAAATAATTCATAACAGAAACAACACAGTAATATAAAACTTACAAAGTTTAGTAACTGATTAGTTTTACTGGATATTCTTTTAATAAGAGATTTTGTGTCTCGTTACACTTGACTTCAAGAAGTCAGCACAATTATCCGTTTTAGTTTAATGTTTTTCTGCCATTTGACGTCTTGTATTATCTCAAGTCTTGTACGAATAGTTTCGTGGTAAACACGTTGAGAAAACATTAACAAGGAATTTTTCCCCCTGGACATATTCAGGTATTTGGTGTATTACTGTAGGATATATATATATATATA